TGAATTTTATTGTTATAGACCAAAGTTATATTTAATATAATATTGACTTGACTTGATAACTGTTGACATGTACATCTTAACTTGACGACATTTTTTTTTAATTTTATTTTGGCATTAAGACTGGATCAAATTTTGTATTATTTCTTGTTTATTGTTAACGGCTATGTATATGTATGTTATTTATCTTGTGACATTTTATTCTTAGGTTTGTCACTAAATTGTAATTAATCATAGATATCCATAGAACATTCATATATCACTAGACTGACAATTATAAAATTATACACTATATATTCGCATGCCACGGGGGAAATATGATTGTACCATACCAAATTATTAATCCTGTAACTACCATATTTCTTGCAAATAAATCATTATCATTATTATTATTATGTGGGGTATCTATATAGTTTTCTCATCTGGTTGGGTTCTATAAATATATAATTATAAATTAAAATGAAAAGATAAATGTACATAAATATATTGAATAAAACTATTATTTACGGATTTTATCGCGTTTAATTACTTTAATATATTTTTATTATTATCCCGACGTTTCGGGTGCTTTACAGCACCCATGGTCCGGCGGGGGGACTGAGATGTTTGACGTCCCAATGTCATTGTTAGCCCGGCTACCTTCAGTTTTTGAATATTAATTTTTGGACCGATTTACGCAAAACGAACTTACAGTATCTTGAAGTCTTGCAGTGGTATGCTTGGGTTTGGGTTTAATTTTGTTAATTATAGGATCCCAAGCAGATGGCAGCACCCAACCATCTTCTCTATTGAAATTAGGATGTTTTTTAATTTCGATAGCCTCACGTATCATCCTTGGTAGGAATCGGTGTTCTTTTGCGAGGACTTGTGGTTTATCAAATCTGATGTAATGGTGGAGACGATCCTGAATATGTTCACAGACTGCAGACTTCCCGGAGCATCGGTGATTCACGTCAGCTATATGTTCTTTCACGCGGGTTTTTATGGATCTTTTTGTTTGACCTATGTAAGAGAGACCACATTCACAATCTAACTTGTACACTCCTGCATCTTGTAGAGGGATATTACACTTGACGGATGGTAAAAATTGACTAATCTTCTTCGGCGGCTTGTAGTATCTTTTAATGGAAGCTCGCTTCAAGATGTAGCCAACCTTGTCTGTGACTCCTCTGACATATGGTAGTACAGCAGGCACCCGCTCGACTGTGGCCGGCTTCACTCGGTCACTGTGACGTAGGCGCGGGATCCGAAGCTTGTTGTCTTGCAACACTTGCTTGACATGCTGAAGTTCGGCGGCCAGATGTTTTCTGTCACTGATCCCTCGTGCTCTCTGAAACAAAGATTTACCCACGGTAGCTAACTGTGAAGGATGATGGTGAGATTCACCATTTAAATATCGGTTGGTATGGGTCTTTTTTCTATACACAGTGTGACCAATAGTGTTATCAGGATTTCGAATGACTAAAACATCTAGGAAAGCTAAAGAATTATTTGCCTCTAACTCCATTGTGAATTGTATTTTAGAGTTTATAGAGTTAAGGTGGTCTAAAAATGCAGTTACTTTGTCAGATGGTAAAATTGTGAAAGTGTCGTCTACGTACCGCTTGTAGAATCTTGGATTTACAGGAGCAGTAAGAAGGGCTTTCTCCTCGAAGTCCTCCATGAATATGTCGGCGACTATGGGAGATACAGGTGAGCCCATCGCCACACCATCTACTTGCTTGTAGAACTCTTCCTTCCACAATAGATAGCCAGATGTGAGGCAATGTTTAAGTAATACTGCATATTCAGCAGGCATGTTGTTATCTTCTAGCTTCCTAGTTACAATTGAGATGCAGTTTTCAATAGGTAGGCATGTGAATAGTGAGTGAACATCAAAACTGACCATAGTTTCATTGTCAGCGAGATGTAGGTCTTTTATCTCACTAACAAAATGGTATGAATCCTTTGTGTGTGCTCTGGTATGTCCTCTCAGTGGTGCCAGTATTTTTGCCAAGTGTTGTGCCAGCTTATAAGTTGGTGAATCGATCTGGCTCACTATAGGACGTAGTGGAGCGTTTGGTTTGTGTATCTTCGGCAACCCATACAACCTCGGTGGTTTGGTACAGGATGGTATTAGCGAAGTCTGAAGTAGTGACTTCGCTAATACCATCCTGTACCAAACCACGACGATAAGAACCGACGCTCCGGGAAGTCTGCAGTCTGTGAACATGTTCAGGATCGTCCCTATCATTACATCAGATTTGATAAACCACAAGTCCTCGCAAAAGAACACCGATTCCTACCAAGGATGATACGTGAGGCTATTGAAATTAAAAAACATCCTAATTTCAATAGAGAAGATGGTTGGGTGCTGCCATCTGCTTGGGATCCTATAATTAACAAAATTAAACCCAAACCCAAGCATACCACCGCAAGACTTCAAGATACTGTAAGTTCGTTTTGCGTAAATCGGACCAAAAATTAATATTCAAAAACTGAAGGTAGCCGGGCTAACAATGACATTGGGACGTCAAACATCTCAGTCTCCCCCGTGACCATGGGTGCTGTAAAGCACCCGAAACGTCGGGATAATAATAAAAATAAATTAAAGTAATTAAACGCGATAAAATCCGTAAATAATAGTTTTATTCAATGTGTAGTGTTCGCGTAAATTTAAGAAATCATTATACATAAATATAATTAAAATAAAATAAATACAAAAATACATAAATAAATAAAAGCCCAACCAGATGGAAGCCCTCGACAGGGGAGACCAAACGGCCGAGGGTTAGGAAGAAAGGGAAAGAAACCGGCGGACGATGCGGGCGATATCGAGGAGCACCGCCTTCTGCATTTGAACCTGGAGAGGTCCGCCACGTAGTCCCAGCCGCCTCAGATGACCCGAGAGGCTGACTGGGATTAGCCCGTTTGCAGAGACGACTACAGGAATAATTTCGGTCGGCAGACCACCCCACATGTCGGTCACCTCGTGAACCAGGTCCAGATATTTTGTTTGCTTGTCTGTTTCGGCTTTCACGAGGTTCTCGTCATACGGAATGGTAATGTCGACCAAAAATATCCTTGACTGTGCCCGGTCCATCAGCACAATATCAGGCTTATTCGCAAGAATAGTCCTGTCTGTGATGATGGCCCGGTCCCAATAGAGCCTGGCGCGATCATTTTCGAGTACGGCTTCCGGCAAATACTTGTAATACGGCAATTTCCGATCCACGAGACCGTATTTCAGAGCGAGCTCCTGGTGTAGAATTCTGGCTACTAGGTTGTGCCTGTGCAAGTACTCAGAGTTAGAAAGCGCCGAACAACCGGAGATAACATGCCTAAGTGACTCACCGGGATGGCGACAAGCTCGACAGATGTCGACGGTGCCATCCTTTAGGATGTATCTCCGATAGTTGTTGGTCTTAATAACCTGATCCTGTATTGCACAAAACCCTCGGTTTCCCCGAAGAGATCACCAAAGCGTAGCCAGTGGAGGGAGGCTACTGTGTCTACGAAAGGCTCATGTAGAGCCTTGTAGAACCTCCCGTGGAGCTCCTTCTCCTTCCATACGGTCTCCCGGTCGGAAATGCTCTGCACTGCCGGGTCTTGCCATTGCTCGTTAGCTAAGGATAGAGGGGTAAGTCCTTTATCACAAGAAATGACGTCCTTATAGAATGGATCATCCGATCTCGCCAGGAAGTAATCACGGAGGCTGCACACTTCGCGATTATGCATGGTGAGCGCGCTCAAGAAGCCACGACCACCATGCTTCCGCGACAAGTACAGCCTCATTACCGACGATCTCGGATGATGCATCCTATGGGACGTCATGGTAGTGCGGACTTTTCTATCCAGGGCGTTAAGTTCAGTCTGAGTCCACCTGAGTATGCCAAAGGTATACATGAGGACAGGCATGACCCAGCCGTTATATGCGTGTGCCTTATTCACACCGGACAAAAGGCTGTTAAGCACTTTGGTCAAGCGTGCATAAAACACGTCGCAAACTGACTGTTTCATACCAGTCTCATCGATACCGATGTTTTGTGACATACCCAGGTATCGGTATGTTTCAGCCTCGGAAAGGGTCCTTAAGTTGACAGGCATAGATAAGTCTACGCCCTCAGAGTTAGCAACCCTTCCCCTTTCAACACGGAGGACCGTACACTTATCCGTCCCAAGCTCCATTCCAATGGAATTGCTAAATTCACAAGTGATGTTTAGCAATTCCATAAGATGGGAGCGACTGGAGGCGAATAACTTGAGGTCATCCATATAGAAAAGGTGAGTCACTTTTGTCCCTCCTTTCCGTAGCTGAAATCCCCTCCCGGAGCCCTCCAGTAAGGTACTGAGAGGGTTCAGAGAGAGGCAGAACCAGATTGGACTCAGACAATCGCCCTGGAAGATACCCCTTCTTATCCTTATGTGGTTCTCCGCAGCCATCATCCGCTCGCCCAGATGACAAAGGATCGTACTCCACTGCCCCATACACTGCTCTCTCTTTAGCCATGTATGGGGCACCGAGTCGAATGCCTTTCTGTAGTCTATCCAGGCGGCGGAGAAGTTCCTACGGTTGCGTTTCACCACTTTGCCAATGACCGCGTCAATGAGGAGTGGTTCCTTGGTTCCACGACCACCGCCCCGACATCCATTTTGAGCGCGCGACATCACCTGATTTGAGTCCAGGTGACAAGTGATTCTCGCGCTCAAAATGGATGTTAGTGTCTTGTATATGGTCGGTAGACACGTGATGGGGCGGTATTTGCTCGGGTCTGTGGTAACCTGGTCTTTAGGAACCAAATGAGTGATCCCAGTAGTGAAGAGGCTTGGGAGCGACTTCTGGTTGAGAGCCTCTTGAAACTGTCGGGCGAGCACAGAGTGACACACCATGAACCCCTTCAGCCAGTAGTGATACAGCCCGTCAAGCCCCGGACTTTTCCAGTTCGGGGCCCTACGGACCGCCTCAGCTACGTCATTCGGCGTTATGATGACGTGGTCCATGGGCGTAATACCCACACACTGACTCGCCACAACTTCCGTCCAAGGGCCCTCGCTGTGGTTTACGGGCTCTGACCACAGGCCGCGCCAGAATGCTACAGTGTCGGCCTGATTCGGCGCTGGACCCGTTCCACTTACCATTGGTCGCTCCAATGATTCATAGAGCCTCTTCTGATCACTCTGGAAGAGACGATTCTGGTTGAACCGTGTCGACCTCTCGGTATATCGCCGAATCCGCTTTCCCCAAGCAGCGATTCTCTGCTTCAGATCATCTATGCGCTCCGTCAGTTTTTGCGTTATATCCGGCTGGGACAAACTGACATTTGTCCCAGCAAACGCCATCCTGACGGTGCGCACAATTCTTGGCCTGTTGTTGCCTGATCTGAAGCATATCAGTCTGCCGATGAGAGCTCTAGCCTTTGCGATACGTTCCTCAATTCTTCTTCTCCATGCTGGGATAGCGCTACTATGGCCAGTAGCGCGTCCAGCCGTGGAACCTTGGCACCTATGATACGGCAGACTGCCAGCGCGGCGCCAAAAAGAATTGAGTCCGTCTCGCAAAGGTCCCGGCTGGCTTCCAAATAGGTCACCAGCATTGGGTTCAGAGCCCTCACGACAGCCCGATTCCGCTTGCTTAGGGCTATGCGGGGAAGTCGCGGTCGATTTTCGAGAGGCGTACTGCGCGTTTCCACAATCGCCTCTTCCAATGTACTCCTCATATGCTCTAATTCCAGTTCCTGGGCGACTGTTCCATCATCGTTTGAATCAACCACAACTGGGGTATTCACGGCGGCATCCACGTTTGCGGGTTGCTCTACCATTTGTGGCGCCGCATCCTCAGCCGTAGCATTCTCATCCGACGAGGGAACAGCCTCACGTCGTAGCCGTTCGAGTTCGGCGACATCAAATATATTTGAGCGCAACATATACCGAACTCGGTCTGCCAGGTTTTGCTCTGTGACGGTTAAAGATGGCTCCAGCTCAGCAAAAAGACGATGCATCCTAGCCCGATACGCCAAACATCCAGTTTGTCCCCCTTTCGCCCTAAAATACGCCCGCAATGCGTTGCTGTTCATCTGGGTTGTCCAACGCATGCGGCGTACTTCACCAGAGGCGGGTGCCGATTGCTGGGCCCGCGAAGACCCTGCCGACACCAAGCCAGCTGGTGGGGATGATGGATGCGAGGGGATGGTTGGTCGTGCAGCACCTCGCGCTCGGCTGGCGGTTCGCATGCTGCCGCGTCCAGCGCCAGCTCCAGACGCGCCCTGGCGACCTTCAGGCAGCGGCCCTTTGCGCGTTCTATTTAATTCCATCATCCATTTTTAGGGCGTCATTTAGCGGGAGACGCCCAGACCCGGCGCCGTTTCATGTTGAGGCCATGTGCACAAGCGGGCCTTTGCACCTTTAATTTTTGCCGAGGTACGGCACTAACACCTCTTGGCAAGGTGCTGACTGACTGCGCTGACGTAGCGGTTTTGTCACATAACCGTTACGTCAGCGGGCGATGGGGTCGTCACTTCCCTACGCCTTTTTATTATTATTATTATTATGGGGTATATATATAGTTTCAGTTTTAGTTAGTAGTTTGGGGTACTATATATATATATATATATATATATATATATACATATGTATATATATATATATTTATATATATATATTATAACCTTGTTACCTGTGTAAACGAAATGATTGATTGAAAAAAAATAATAAAGAAGGTCGTAGTCACCTCTACGAGCCGAGATGAAAAGCCTTACAGCCTTCATTGACACCGGTACTAAGTATGAGGGTGATACCTTCCCGACGATCATCCAAACAGAAATTGTGTCGTACTACTTAGTTCATACGTATACTACCTTTAGGAAAAAAATTCTGTCGCTGATAAATATTAATATTGATTGAAAATTATAATGCGAAAGTGCTGCTATCCTTATACACTATGACGGAAATCCTTTTTATTAATAAGAAAGCTTCCAGTTCTCTTCACGTACTAAACGATAACCAACAGCCATCGATCACTAATAAAGAACTAGTGATCGATGCCAACAGCACTCAGTTGCTATTTTACGCTAGTAAAACGCGGCTAGATATTGTGTAAGATTTTTTTTGATTCCTTTAAAAAAATTGCTTCTAAAAACTAGAAAGGATGAAACAGTTTGATCGTTTTTTTTGTCACGTAAAATATATACAAAAATACATCAAGTAGAAATGGACTTTATGATCGTTTATATCCCTCCCTGTTTTAAATATATGATATTTTTTATTATAAGCCCCACAATCAAACAAGATTGACCACAGTACCACATGGTGGTAAAGGTGATGAATGCCTAAATGATAAGTTGAAATTAGTTAAATTATTCGTTCAAATTCATTCAAAACACTCTCAGAAATGAAAGGAGGTTTGTGCCCAGCAAGTGGGACGTATATAGGTTGTTACTAAAACAACAATAAAAGCCGCTTTACGGTAGGACAGTGTTTCTGGTTATGAGTCCGTCTGGCATGGTGTAACCCAACATTTAATGCTTGGCTGAAATAGAAACTGCACTAGGGCGACAATGCATATGTATTTATGTTTAATTGTTTTGTAATTAACATTTCATAATGTTTTTATGTGGTAGAGCCATCTGACATGCTGCACCTATATTACTGGTATAGTTTTAGCACGAATGGGTCGACTCACCAGGGGGGAGGATAACGCTCTTACAAAATACGCCAATAACCGTGTAAAATAGCAGCTTAACGCTACTGTGTTTCGTATGGTAATTGTAGAGCACCGGAAACCGTTTTCACTGGAAACGAGGCATTTCATCTTAGTCCTCACGGGTGACAACGCATCTGCATTTTGATTCGTAGTCGAAGGTCACAGCAGCCACTTAACATCAGGTGGACTGTGTGTTCGTTTGCCACATTTATCCTATAAAAAAAGAATATAAGCTGCAGTTGTCATCATAATCGATAAAAATATGGTGTAACTATACTTATATTTATTATGTATTCAAGGAGACACGCTTTAAGCCTCCCAACTTTTTCAGGCATACTGGTTAACGCCTAATGGTATTATTAATTGAAATGAATTGGCTCAAAACTTATATAAAGAAAAAAAAATCTAAAATATATTTATATACAAAATAAATAATTAATACTTGGAATTATGCGTTTCTTTGCGGAAATCCAAACTAATGACCTAAGATTCGCTACAGATAATAATGTATCTTGCTTTTTTTGAAGAGCACCTCTCCATTTCTCGCGGATCTTAGCTAATTAATTTTCAACTTCTTCAATACGTAGTCATTGCATCATATAATCAATATCTCAATTTGAATTAAATTAGTACCGTAGAGGTTAACAAATAAGGTAGAATATCGCTTGTATCGTAAGTTCTTAGTCTGGGGCAATGTACGAAGGCGTGTTCACCAGCTGTTACGTGACCTTGGACAAGGTCGCTAACACGTCATTTCAGCCGTTGCCTTGTGGAATGCTTTGGCCTTGAAAGTCTGACATGCGAATCTTACTAATATAATAAACATATTAAGGTATGATTTAGCTTACACTTAAATATTGTTTTAGAAAGAAAGTAGGTTTTTTAATCTTCAATGTATGTAGATATACTCGTATATGTTACCTAGGCACCACCGTGCTATGTAATAATTTCCTTTTTCTCGGATAAGGTTATAAATTGGTGTTTACTCAAAGACCTATACATATATGTGATTATATTATCTATGTGTTTACTCCTAAAAAAAGTTTCATATAATAGGTATATAGCGCACGGTAATCAAGTGTGAACATAAAGTGAAGCCGTTATGGTTTTCCCCTGCCAATATCATAGCGCGAAATGAATAACGTAGTGATATATTTTTATGTAGTATAATTTATGTAATATATTTTGGCAAATTAATATAAATTATTTTTACGCGGTAGAGCCATGTTGCATCTACATATATTACTGGTATAGCTGTAGCACGAATGGGTCGGCTCGACTGGGGTAGGACCACGCTCTCACAGAATACCAGCGTAAAATAGCAGTTTAAAGCTGCTGTGTTTCGTTTGGTGAGTGTAGAGGACCGGAGACACTTTTTACTGGAAACGAGGGATTCTATCTTAGTCCAACGTATCTGCATTTTGATTCGTTATCGAGGATAGATGTAGGTGTCTATATGCCACAGCAACCACTTTGGACTATGTGTTCGTTTGTCACCCCTATACTATAAAAAATAATATGGGTTATTTACTTCTTTTGTCTATAGTATATACATATTTTTAGACAATAGTTTTTCAGGAGCTAATTCCAGTCACGCGTAGGAGCTGGCACGCATATTTTTTTATAGAATAAGAGAGACAAGTGAGCACACAGCCCACCTGACTTTATGTGGATACCTTGACCCATAGACACTACATCTGTTCACGACTAAGAATCATAATGTAGATGCATTGTCACTCCTGAGGACTAAGAAAAATGCCTCGTATAAAGTAAGAAGAGTTCCTGGTTCTCCACACTCACCATACGAAACACAGCAGCATTGGGCTGCTATTTCGCGTTGGTATTCCGTAAGAGCATGGTCCTTCCCCAGTCGAGCCGACCCATTCGTGCTATAACCAAAATATATCTGCAACATGGCTGTGTCGCATAAAGTTTAGGATTAGTTCCTTGTCCCATTCCACAGACTGCATTTAAACACATATTAACAGAGTAATAGTACCCGCATACTTCTTGTTAAACACATGAGAATAATGCCTGAATACTCAATCACTGTTCAAAGTTAATTTTAGAATGCCGTTAAGACGACACATCGAAAAGGCTATCGCCGTACTGATCCCAGTGAATGCATAATTTCTATAAAAACTTGAAAAACGCCTTCATAAGGTCTAAAATAGTGTAGCACCCGCGACGATTAAAAGCACTTCGAAACTCTCAGAAACTTTAAAATATTTTTTTAAAAATTATTGATTTAAGTAATCAAAATAATGAGCAAGTAAATTATGAATATTGATGTTATGAATATATTTGAGTGATTCCCAAGCATATAGATTAAGTAATTTCGTTGTAATTTCAACTATAGTGATTTTTTAGAGGTGTTTTCGCAAATAATTATGATCGAGTCAAAATTATACAATCGTGTTTTTGAATAATCAAATTCAAGATAAAGACATGAATTTACCTATATCAAAATTTCACTTTCCTTAGTGGTGTCATAGTCTTTATACTATTCGATGAAAGGAGGTGCATTTTTTCACGGTGTCGCCTTAAGGGTCCCACTAAACCCGAACCAACAGTCTAATTGAAAGTGTTTTGTGAATACCACCGGTTTATTGTTCGGTTTGGACGTAACTTTGGATTTTTTTCTATCGAGAAAATTTTACGGAATCGTGTTTTCGTCTAAGATAGTACTTAATATTAATCCTCAACTTTACCATATATTTATTTTAAAATTAATACTGCAATATTTCAGCATAACGGAGGATCTTGCTAAGCCATTTGAGATGGTATAGGCCCTTGAGTCTCGTACTGTCACTATCACATTAAGTCAAAGTGTGGCACCACGTCCACGACTACTTAACGACATCTTAAAATTGCGTAACGTTTGAGTATTTGGCCATAAGTTGATGATATTACCTATTTTTAAAAATAAACTTGTTTTTTTTTTAACTAAAAATGGTCTCATTAAAAACAAGTTCAATATCATAAAATCGTAACCAAAACAATGTAAGCCGATACCCAGATGTTTTGCGTCAAAGTGGGTGGAAAATACGTCTCTTAACTTTATTTATCAGTAACGGAAAAATTAATGTAATATTATGCAAATATGCAGTCGTTTATAAAAAGTTTCTTCCTTAATAGTTTTTAGTAACTATCCTTGATAGTTTTTTTTTTTTTTGGAATAACCAAAGCTTTTTACTACGGCAAATTACAGAACATGCACTTACCGTCACACACACACATATACCGTCACATCCTTTATCCTCGAGGGGTACAAGTAATAATGAATCTAGGTTATGGCGG